ATTACAGAGTGAAGAAAACTTGTTTCTATTCCTTGTTAAAAGGAAAAGTTGGAGGGAAATTTTCTCCCTTAGTTGTAATTTATTTGTGGTTTATTCTGGAGCCCGAGAAGTCACTCATGTGTTTTAATAGCCTTTCTCCTATTTAAAATTCTCTTGGGTGAAGAAAGAATCTGAGGTATATGGAAAAGTTGCTTATCCTGAGTGATCATTCATGGAATTAACACAATGTCCAAAGTTGGCTTTGTTAGGTCAAAAATAATCACGAGCTACAGAGATGACATCAAACTCCAGTGTTTCCACTTAAACCTGATGTTTCTCACTCAGAAGTCTGGGTGGAAATGGGGGTTAGTAAATATGTGAAAGGAAGTCAGAATTTGTTGTTGGTATTTCCATGATTGAAGTAGAAAGGACTGACATTTCATATGTTTTTGTTTCTTTTCCCCATTTGATAAGTTAATGATGGGCAGGTTTAAAACAGTATGCGGGGATATCTGTATGGGACTGGGCCACCCAGCCTCAGGGGGCAGACTTGGTTCAGAGTCCTGCTCCAGTTAGTGGCAACTGGTAAAAGGAGTTAAGAGTTAGTGGATAATTTCAAATGAAATGACCTTCCCGGTCACCTCCATCAGCACTGAGCTGGGACTGTGACTTGGAGTGTACCGTAGGGGTACAGAAACCTAACCTTTTCACACTTGACAGGAAGAAACTCTAGAGACCAACGTTGGACAAGCAGAGGAATGTTATGGTTGACAATACACAGCTGTATGTGATGCACCCTTTAAATGAAAGGCCAAACAGCAACAAGATGTGGAGCTTGTGGAAAAGTCAAAATGGAACCTCGGGGTGTTTTTTGCACTAACGTGTCTGTGTGCATGTGTGTGCATGCATATATGTGTTGCTGTGTTGCTTTGGGTCTTTCTGTTGAGCTTCAAAAGATACTTAATTTTTATTCATCCATGTTTGTAGTGCACAATGACTGCGTTCACTGAGAGTTGGTTGTGTACATAACTCTGTGTGTACATAATGTCATAATTTTCTTTTACCTTCTCTTTTCCTCTCCTCTCACTTGCCTCCTTCCATCTATAGATCCTGATTTGATTCTTAAATCTCCTCTTTCTCATTGAATCGTAAGCTTGCTATAATCCTAAAGTTCCAAGATAATGCCTTTCATCTAGCTAGGTAGATGCATCCACTCATAAAATCTATTGTAATCCACTAATAAAAAAATTAGAATATCCTCAACACATTTTACCAATTATGTTTTAAATTTAATTTTTCTTAGTCCATGTTGGAGCATATTATGATTACATTCACTGGGGGGGAAGTGGGACATGAACATAACACACCTGGTTTGTTTTACATCTCCTTCCCCTCTTCCCTGCCCTTCACCTTTTGGTCCCCCTTCCCACTTGCAAAAGATCTATCTCCCTGTTTCTAAAACCTGTCTTTTATCTTGCTGCTTCTTTTATTTATACTTTGGGTTTCTCATACAGGAGAAACCATTTGATATTTAAACTTGTAAGTCTCATCTATTTCACTTAACACACTTTTTGTCCCATGGTCTTCTTCCCCTGGGTAGACTGTGCAGTCATTGTCTTTGGAGTCCTCCTGCCTCCTTCCTTGAGCTATTTCGCCTTTTGCCTTTCCTGGGCCAGAGCCCCTACTTGGTGGTGCCCAGGCACCCTGGGGTCCATGCTGTGGTGACATTGCAAGTCCCCAATGCTATCTTGGTTCAGTCCCATTGTTGCAAAATTTAAGAGACAGGAGAAACCATGGGTGAAACAGAAGGATTTGATTCCAGGATTTTAGGTGCACACCAGCCCAGCAGATTTACATCCAAAGGCTGAGCCCTGAACAAAGGAAAACCTCCAATTTCTATACATTTGGTCAAAGGAGGTTGGCCTACCTGGTGGCATACAACTTAGGCATGGGCAAGCAGAACAAAGGCAGCTCGTTAAGCTGTTAAATTTTGCAAGGTAACATGCCAGTGGTCTTGGTCAGTAAAAACAGGATGTTATGAGAACAGGGGGTTATAAAACTTTACTTACAGTGACAAAGTTACAGATTTTACTTGCATTGGAACAACAACAACACCTGGCCATGTTGCTTAGGCTGGGGAAACTTGTTTTTTCCCCTCTTTAGTCCTGCTGTATCATCATCTGTAAAGTGGGGGCAACAATGGCAGTAACAGTAACAGCTGTGTGACCCTAGGATTAACAGATACATCATCGCTGATGCTCACTGTGTCTGCCCTGGTCCTGTGCTTTCCTTATGTCGAGATACATCCTGTTGCATCCCATGAATGCAGGCAAAGCTGATATTTAACAAGGGGAGCTTGTCACCAGACAGGGGTCTAGAAGGTTCTTCAAAGTGTGACCTGCAGCCTATGCCGAGAATTAAGTTGCGGGTTCGCTGATACCAGTGCAAAAAGAATTCTCAGGGTGCATCAAAAAGAGACACAGAGGGATTTATTATTCAGAAATTTAAAGTACTCATTCAGAGTTATAGAGCATAGGCCCCGGAGAGAGATGCCTCATGGTGTGGAGCTGCATGTGTCTACCAGGTTCACAGCGTTCTCAGGACAGTGATCTGGGTTGTGTCCCCCTGTCTGCCCATCTGGGCTGGTCACAAAGCAAACCGCTGCCCAGTTAGAGGCTGACGCCCATCCCATTCCTACTGCGGTTTCCTTGTACCTGGGGAGCTGGAGCCAAGCCGTTCCCAGCGAATGGCAGCCCAGAGCCCGAGTGGTGTCTCCTGTGTTTGAGGCACTTGACAAAAAAATGCAGCCCAGAGCCCGAGTGGTGTCTCCTGTGTTTGAGACACTTAGGAAAAAAAAAAAAATTTTTTTTTTTAATGAATTTCCTGGAAGGGAAAAATAGCTTGAGTAACCTTTGTGTCCTGAGCCCGCGGTTTTTCTTAAAAGCACAATTTTAACATTTCAATCTTCCCCGGTCCCTTCTTTTTATTTTTATTTCTTCTACTCTACCTCAAAGTGACCGTCCTACACACACCCAGCTTCTAAAGGCTCCGGGCCTGCCCTGTAGTCACCGGATTCCTATTATGAAACCACGTTCATTAAATTGATAGCAGAGCTTGTAGCACACAGATCTTGCTCATTCAACTTTTATTATCTTCACCCTTCTTTGCTATCGAATTCTCTAGAATTCCACCCCGGTAGCGGAGCGAGGGCCACCCAAACACTGAGGTTCCGCGCCCCTCTGCCAGCTGTCACAACACTGAGCCTTCCGGGGACCATGGCCTTCTGCCAGGGAATCGCTGGTGGGTGTGACCCTGGCATTAGCCTGTCAGCCCCTGGAGAACGGACCCATGACAGCCCTCCGCCCTGCACCCTGGCTGCCTAGTACATTTCTGGAATTCAGTAGGAACCTGATAAACGAGATGGATGAATATCTCTGTGGAAGAAGAGGGCCTCTCCCCCC